AAAATCGTGAGGAAACCTGCATGTCTGAGGAATAAGAAAAAAAATATTTCGAAGACATTAGAAGTTCACCAACACGCATTGGGGCAGCGCGGTGGACACTTGCACTAAAACCCTCACAGAAATGAGGTGAGGCCTGTACTCAGCAGTGAGGACGTATATAGGCTGTAACTTTTCAAGTAAATTAAACGCGATAAAATCCGTAAAAGTAGTTTTCTTCAATAATGAATCTACTTCTACACGAAATGCATGTGGTTTGATTGCACCTGCGTATACAGACAGTATAATAGTGCATTTAAGATGCTGATAAGGCTGCATCGGCCTCCATTTTGCAGCACATTAAGGATGTTCGCCGAAAAGCAAAAAACCAGGGTTTTCCAAAATTATAATGTGTCATAATAAGTGGAATTTGGAGTGCTTTGATATTGAAATTAGCGTGAAGTTCCAGGGATGGCCTGCAGGGTCAATCAATATTTTTATATGTGTTCCCTCTGAACTTGTTTCTAGATTGTTTCATGATTTTTTTTATTTGATAGTTGGTGCTTTTCATGTGGTCCCATATAAATTTGATCGGGATCTAAACAATAGTTTTTTTTTATCCTTAATAATGCGTATTTAACTTCGACTACATTGATGACGTTTTCTCATTTTATTTATATTGAAGTTGATGACAGTGATGCACGTAGTTGTTGCTAACGAAATAATTTTGTACGGCATTTATTATGTAGGGCAATGAAATGTTTACGTGAGCTAAATACAATATTTTGTATCGTATGGTTAAAGATTTGATTTTTATATTAATAATAGAATATGGACAATTAGGTTTAGGAATTTCAAGACTTGAATTAAGAACGATGGCATTACGATCGATAACTGTAGGATTCCTATTGGACCCTTTTTACTAGAGATGGGCCGAACATGGATTTCACCAAATACGAATATTCGGCCGAAAGTTCGGTAAAACTTTTACCGAACCGAATATTCGGCCGTACATTATTCAACAGAATCATCTCCGTACCTTACTAATTCATGTCGAAACTTGTTACCGTAAAGCACGCGGGATTTGCGCCTGACCCTGCCCATCATCTAGTACTGAGTAAATTGCCGCCACATGCTTATGTTTTAACTATTTTTGTGAGAAAAAAGTAAGTAATTCATTGTGTTATTATTATTAGTGAAAATTGATTATTATATGATAAAAATGAGTGGCAGATCTACTATTTGGACTTATTTTAGAGAAACTGACGACCAAAGTAAAGTGAAATGTACTAATGTAATATACTTAATGTTTCTTTGTTTGATTCCAAAAACATTTTATCAAGCTTTCTATTTGCTATAGTTGTAAATAAATCTAGTGCCTCAAAAACATAACGCTGTACTGTTAGATTTAATTTAACCCATAAATAAAATATACTTTCAACAGTAAAATTATGAAATTGCATTATGGCATTACTCAATTCGTACATTTCAATACAGTGACACTTTGCGTACCACTTTAATGAATATTCGGTGATTTAGCCGAATACGAATATTTGGTTATTCTGCCGAATATGACGAATACCGAATATGAAACGAATATTCGGCCTGTCACTACTTTTTACTGGAAACGAGGCATTTTATTTTAGTCCTCAAGGGTGACAACGCATTTGCGTTTTGATTCCTAGTAGAATATAATAGAACAATTTTTTATTCAATATAGATTACGTGTAATTTTTATTGAAAGTCATTATTAACCGACTTCAAAAAAGGGGGAGGTTTTCAATTCTCGCACGCACGCACAGACACTATTGAAAAATTGTCAAGGTGGTTTCCTGTGACATCAAAACGTCAAGATTTGATGAAAACTCAATTTTTGAAAAACGGGCTTAACAAATAAGTACCCGATTTTAAAAAATTTTCAATTTTCTTAGCGGGAAGTTAAAAAGAGGTTTTCGAATAAAAATTAACCTCGATTCATGCTGACATTGCTTTCTATCTGTTCGTGAAGCTTCGGTGCAATCGGTTCGGTCACTGCTCACTGCCAACGTTAGCCAGCACAGAAATTTTTTAGCCGAGCTTGATATAAGCCAGTTATGATAATTACTTATATTTACGCAAACACTATACAAACTGTCTTTGCGGATTTTATCGCGTTTCAGGTCTGTGGTCTAAATAGTATTATAAGACAATACAAAACAAAACAGCACTGTTTATTATACACCAATAAAAGATAAATATAACAAAAAATTTACAAAATCAGGGAAAAACAAAAGGCGGTCTCATTGCTACATAGCAACCTCTTCTAGACAACCCGGAAAAAGAAATTAATAAAAATAAAAAAGGATTAACGGGTAGGGCGCACTAAATTAGACAAACAAAAAAATACAAACTTATGTACTAAAATGAAAACATACTTTAGGTAGATCAATGGCCATAAATAAGAGGAGTTAAAGAGACAAACAGTGTTCCTTAATCTGTTTCTTGAACACATTTAACGATTGAGCACTTTTAATTGGCTGGGGTAAGGAGTTCCAGTCTTACTCCAAGAACAGCAAAAAATTAGAGTTGGGCCGATAGGACTTTTGCCGATTGGCCGATTAGCCGATTAATCAGTTTAGAAATGGCCGATTAATCGGCCCAGCCAATCTCTATCCGATGATAAATTCAAATGGTGGAACAAAAATTCTTCTTCCATTCCAGATACCCAGAAATGTCCCGTTTAGCCAAAGTTTTCCTTTGCTGCCCCGCCAGCTCTGTGTATAGTGAGAGACTTTTTTCTGAGGCAGGGAATATCTGGTATCTACGAAACAAAAAGGAATTGCTTTCAACCAGAAGAGGCTGAGATTTTTGCCTTTTCGGATTACAATTTGGGACTGGTTAAAAATAACAAATAAATTAAATATTTTCTAAAAAGCCTTCAATACTTTTTCAAATTGAGTATTTCTTTTTAACAAATTATTAGATGATTATAGATTCTTTATATAATAACATTTCATGGAAAAACAATTTATTGTAATTTTAAGTAGGCACAGAAAAATAACAATTTGATTTAATTTTTAGTACAAAAACAATTCAGTTTTATCATTATATTAATTTAGTTATATTAACTTAGTTTTGTCTTTTAAAAATCTATATGCGTGTAGTTAACAAACTTTATTGAAGAATTACGATTATTTTTTGTTATGCAAAAAAAAACTTAATTTTTTTTAACTACTAATATTATTAATATTTTATTTTGTTGTGTCACTACTCTGCCTTACGCATGCATTAGAAAAAGTTAAAAAGTAGAATTAAAATAGTAAGTATTAGGGTTTTGTTTAGTTTTAAATAGCTACCTCAGATTCTTTTTATTACCAAAGTTCCTATGTCCAGAATTATTTACATTAAAACATGTTAAACTGATTTTTCAATAAAAGTTATGTATGAACCTACTTATTTTATTATTATATACATATAAATCTGACGTAAGTTTACGCATGGGAGAGAAACTATACTTTTCTTAAATTTAAAGCTTTACTCATATCAATGTAGCCGCACTTACCACGCAGAAAATCACGAAAAACCTTTGCTGAAATTAATAAAATAAAAAGCCGATTAATCGCCGACTAATCGGTGACTACAAATAGGCCGATTAATCGGCTTCACCGATTAGTCGACGGCTAATCGGCCCAACTCTACAAAAGATTTATCATAAAATGTCGAGGAGTGCGCAGGACAATGGAGGGAAAGACATAAGTCAATTTTTTTCAATATTATAGACAGACACTAATTTAATTTATACGTATAGATATAGATAATGGTGATAATTTATTTGTTATTTATCTAACCTTGCAAAGCAATAAGGGCTCAATATCGCACTGTGCCAAGGCTACTTTACATATCTCCCACTGTACATTTATTTAAGGACAAATACAATGATATCAACACGATCCAGACACTTCTTACGTGGTAGAGCCATGCTGCAGTTATATTACCTAGTAGTATAGCTGTAGCACGAATGGGTCGGCTCGACCGGGGAAGGACCACGCTCTCACAGGATACCAGCGTAAAATAGTAACTTAATGCTGTTGTGTTTCGTGTGGCGAGTATAGATTAACTGAAGACCCTGTTCTTTTTACCGGAAACGAGGCATTCCACCTTATGTCCTCACTGCTGACAACGCATCTGCATTTTGTTTCAGATGTATGGTATTAGAGGATAGATGTAGATGTCTATGGGCCAATCATCAAACACTTACCATCAGGTGGACTATGTGCTCGTTTGTCACCCTAAGTCTATAAAAAAAACCAGACCGTTATATTTCTCTGTCCCGCTGTAGGCTATGCTATACATTAATCTACAAATAATTGTGACAAATCTGGAGTGTTACCATGTACGGCACGTGAGTCTACAAATAGTAGCTAAATGCTGCTGTGTTTCGTATGGTGAGTGTAGAAAACCGGAGACCCTGGTTCCTTTTTACTGGAAACGAGGCATTCCACCTAAGTCCTCACGGGTGACAAAGCATCTGCATTTTGATTCGTAATCGAAGATAGATGTGGATGTCTATATGCCACAGCAAACACTTACCATCAGGTGGACTGTGTGCTCGTTTGTCACCCTATCCTATAAAAAAAAACGACGGGTTGCACTCCGGGAGTGCCGGCAAAAGTGAAAACTTGAATATTAACGTTGTGCATTTTTGATATTTTGGAATTGCTAGGGATTAATTTTGCACGAATTGCTTTAATTATAAGTATAAAAGTACTATCATTTATGTGGTAGAATACAATATTTATTTATTGCGCTATCGTACACAAACATGGCAATTTATATTACATTCGCGCAAGCGCCCTGCGCCGCCTAAACGAAACAGCAGGCGCAGGCATACATTTTCGCCTTTTTGTCTTACGCATTTTCGATCAGGGTCACGTGTCCTGACGCGAGTTTAACAATTTTTACCCATTACAAAAAAAGTGTACAACGCCGCTAAAGAAGTTTTCACTTCAAAAACGAAGTGGCATTACATAAAGACGTCTGTGCAGGTACCTAGCTCACTGTCGAGGGGCGTTAATAAGAAAATTCATCGTAATCGGCGCGCCACATCCGAACCTCTACTGGCAGTACCCGCCGGCGCCGTTCTGCCAACAAGCATTGTATTTCATACAGGTAAGATATAGTAAAGAAGTAATGTAACAGCCTGCTTTACCTTTATAAGTGGTTAGAATAAGACGGGGTAGAACCATGCTCTCATGGAATATCAGCGTAAAATAGCAGCTTAATGCTGTTGTGTTTCGTATCTGGTCTAGAGAACAGGAGACCCAGGAGGAGAGAGAGAAACGGGGCATTCCATCTCAGTCCTCAGGGGTGACAACACATTGACATTTTGATACTTAATTGAGGATAAATGTAGATGTCTATGAGCCACAGCATGCGTTTACCATCAGTTGGACTGCGTACTCGTTGGTCACCCTTTTTCTATATTCTTTTTCGCCCTCCTTCTATCAACCGTGCTCTCATTTCTGGGGCAGAAAGAGTCGACTGCGTTGGCCAATTGCGTGTTTACAGACTTCAAATGTCGTCAAAATTTTTAAGTGTAGTGTCGATGTAAGAATATCCAAAATTTAACATCGTCCTCTGAGTGTCTATCTATCGAAGAGGCGGCAGAAGGAAATAAACTAAGAGACTGGAAGCAGCTTCTTCCTAATAACAACTAGAAAATAGAAAACTGCGGTTGCCAACCCTACCAACCCTGTCGCCAAGCGCGGCAACTATGGCAAATATCCCCCTTATGTGCAGGCCAATGTTCAAAATGTAGACTTTGATAGACTGTAATGAGGAAATAAATAAATGATTCATATTCACATCTTGTCAGACATACCTTAAAATCTCAAAACTAGATAGTACAACCAGTGCGTGTTGCCAGTGATGCGCTATGGATCTGAGACGTGGTCCTTCGCTGCCGGCCGTATGAGGAAGGTCAAAGTCGCTCAGCGAGCTATGGAGAGAGCTATGTTCGGAGTTGCTCTGTGTGATAGAATTTGAAATGAGGATATCCGCAATTAAACCAGAGTAATCACATAGCCCAACGGCTTAGTAAGCTGAAGTGGCAATGAGCCGCCCGCATAGCCCAAAGAACCGATAACCGATGGGGAAAAAACAGAACCATCAACCCTTACATTTTCCTAACAAATTAACTTCCCCGCTATGAAATCTGTCAAATAATAGGTCGGGAAAAAGTTTCTTCGTATTTTGTGTATACTCTTTGTATCTGGCTGATTTTAATATTAGTATTATAATATTACGTTTTTGAAGTTTAGTATTATAATATTAAGGAATTTATAGATGATAATAACCCCTGGGAAGGGTGATCGCTACCAAGCTATTTCTATAATGATTTCTTATATTTACGCGAACACTACATTGAAATAATACTAGTTTTTACGGAATTTATCGCGTATATTTAACTTTTTAATTACCCGACGTTTCGAGAGCTTTACAGCACCCATGGTCACGGGAAGGACTGAGATGTTCAACGTCCAGCTGTCATAGTTAACCGCGGTTACCATAGATTAAAATTTAACTTTTGTTCCGATCTACACAGTATGAACTTATGGTATCATGGAGTCTTGCAGTTGTATGCTTGGGTTGGGATTTAATTTTATTTATTATAGGATCCCAAGCAGATGGTAGCACCCAGCCATCTTCTCTATTGAAATTAGGATGTTTTTTGATTTCAATAGCCTCGCGAATCATCCTTGGAAGGAATCGGTGTTCTTTAGCGAGGATTTGTGGTCTATCAAATCTGATGTAGTGACGGGGGCGATCCTGTACATGTTCACAGACTGCAGACTTCCCGGAGCGTCGATTCTTCACATCAGCTATATATAGCTATATAATATATATATATATATATATATATATATATATATATATATATATATATATATAGCTATATAATATAAAAAGAAAATAATAATGACATATGGACATAATGCAATGTCAGTAAGAACTAACTTCGTAGCACGAAGTTGGTTCAAGCGTTTTCAGTCCGGGAATTTTGATGTCAAAGATGAAACTCTGGTCGCCCTCATACGGATAAAATCGATGTCATTTTGAAAAAGTAGTTATATCAGTAGAATCGGCATATTAGTAGTTACGATATAGCCAATGAATTGAGGGATTGACCACAAAATAGTTTTGAGCCATTTGAAAAAAGCACGATATTTGGGTATGACACGAGCTCACTGAAAGAAACCTGATGAATCATGTACTCATTTGCAATTCTCTATTGAAACGTAATGAAACTGAACCATTTTTGAAAATATTGATCTCGGGTGAGGAAAGATGGATCACCTACGACAAAAACGTGTGAAAAGATCATGGTGAAAGGGTAGTCAAGCTCGACAGGCTGTATCGAAACCCGGATTAACACGCAATAAGGTGATGCTGTGTGTATGGTGGGATTGGAAATGCATCGTTTTATATGAGCTTTTACCACAGAGTAAGGAGTAAGGACCAGAGGGGAAGCTTCCTAACAACGTCGAAAATATTTACCTATTTTGATAGGGTTGTCACCTGATGAATGTGAAAAATTTAAGGAAAAAATAACAATATTATAGTATAGTATAAAACAACAAGTGATTTCATTGTAACTTAAATGATTATAACAACGTGTCTGTTTATTGTAACTTAAATTGAAACAAAACAAATATTGTATATTTTGCTAATTTTCATAGTATTATGTCTTATGGAATCTTGCTGTAGAGTAAAGCGGCGAATATTGAGAAAATACGTGGAATTTATAATTAAAAACCGCGCGAATCCCTTCGAGAGAATTTTAAGGAAATAGGTATTCTCACAGAAGCTTCATATTATAAATTACTATGAATATCATTTTCGTAAGACAACGTATTTATGAGAACAAAAAAATCAGGTGGTACCATCACCTGATTTTTTGTACTTATTAATGGCTGTGATAGTGGTAGTGTGTAGTGGTGGTGGTTGTGATGTTGATGGTGGTAGTGGTGATGGTAATGACTGTGGTGGTGATGCAGGTCGTGGTGGTGTTATTAGTGGCGGCGGTGTTGGTGGTGGTCCACTACCCACCACCACCATCAACACCTGCACCACTGCCACCAACACCAGCAACACTATTACCATATTCACCACTGTCTGGTAATTATTTTCTCTCGAATTTTTATACATACTGTACAATTGTTAGGCATTAATTTATACGGAACACTAATTATGTAATTACTTCTATAAGTTTATGATGTCTTATTTTATAAACTATAACTTAACTCTAATAGTAAAAAAAATTGACTTATAAAATCACGAAGTATTGTTCTTCCATAAATTAAAATGCGCACGACTGTCAGACCTTTTATGGATAGTATGACTGAGCCGGCCACTCGGCAGCCTCGTACCGGCAGGTGAACTGCCGGGCGTCCCCCCACTAGATGAAGTGACTACCTGCTAAGACATGCAGAAAGTCGATGGATGCAGGTGGCTCAGGATCGTGCTTTGTGGCAGTGGCGGATTCACACATTTGCCGCCAGTAGGCTATTCAAATTTTGCCGCCTCTGCCAACTTCTGCAAGTCGATAACCTAGTTCACAATCATAATATGTATTACATTTTTTGTCTAATCTCTCTCTCTCTCTCTCTCTCTCATTTTTTTGTCAATGAAACTAAAAATGTCCTAATTACACCACCTTTTTGCCGTAGATAGTATGATTGTAGTCTAGGGGATCGATGTGTCAGTTCCTAGGTTATTTTTACAACCCAAAGATTTAGTTAATTTAATTGCATAAGAAATAATTTCTGGGATCTGGGTATATTTCCGAGCTAATAAAAGCTTAATCATATACTACTAATAAGGCGAGGTAAGATTTGATTTAATGCTACTTACATTCGGTAAAAGTAATTAAATAATTTTTATTGCGTTTATACTTTGAAATCAATGTATTCAATTTTACGTGGTAGAGCCATGCTGCAGCTATATTATGGTTTTACCATAAATGGGTTGGCTCGAGCAGGGAAGGATCAACTCACCATCATCTGGACTGTTTGCGCGTTTGTTACCTTTATTCTATTAAAAAAAAGATACTATGTATAAAAAGCATATTTAATTTTAGCGCGTCTTGTATGTATATACAATATGTAACATAATTAACGCACACCCTCAGACACCCCAATTAGTATATTATGTTATAATCATAATACATACACTGAATGTTTAGTTAAACATTTTTATGCACTGATTATTTATCAAATTAGTTATACTAATTCCGGAAGAATGTTGTGGTCACAGTACAAATCCACGAACGCAAAGACTTTAACGTGCTTGAAATAAAGTTCAATTTTTTTTTATTTTTGTTGAATGGCAGAATTAGTAATAATACAAATAGAACTGCACTCTTAAAAGTCTTATTGCCTTAAGTTACGGTCGATTTCAGTTTGTTTTGACTGTACAGATTTAGTGTGACTGTAATTTACGTAGTTTTAATTATTTTTGGGATAAAAAATTACCTATATTAAAAATGATAGGAATCGATTCAGTAAACGATTCCGAACAAACTACTTTCTCAAAGTGCGTTAATTGTTACGCGTGTTGTATATATATATATATATATATATATATATATATATATATATATATATATATAGTGTGTGTGTGTGTGTGTGCTAGAAGGTAGCATTTGCTTGATATTAGCATGATTCTGTGCGTCGAATGTGTGAAGCGTAGGTACCATATCGTGAAAACAGCGATCACTATTTCACCTTCAAGGTTCTATTCTCTTAACTATCCTGTTAACTACCGTACACCCTATATAAATCTTCTCCATGATATATGAGAAATTCCTGGTATGGCTACGTTGTACAGCTTTCATCTAACTTGATCAAGTCCTCTTTCCAGTGGCCATACTTGCCAGAGCGATGGCTTGCAGAAGGGTCTCTCCAAGATGATAGTTCGAATTCGCCCAGTTCCCGCGCTCGAGATTGGAACGGGGCACTGAATTACGTAAGAGGTAAGAATTTAAGTATTTTTTAATTCACTTTTACATTTATATATAAAAATCAATTACTGTCCGTTAGTCTCACAAAAACTGGAAAATGGTTGAATGGATTATGATGAACTTTGTGTTTTCTTGGATGCCTGTTGTCAAGATGCAGAAATCATTCGTGCGAAGTCGTGAGGGATCGCTAGTTGCTGATTAGACATGTGTCTATCAGGAATGATTCGTTCGTTTGAGCTGGTACACTTAAGAGTATTGATGGATCATTCGTATGTTTTTAATGTTCCGCTACAACCAATCACAAACAATTGACGGAACCTTTTTAACTCGTGATTGGTTTCAATTGTGAATGAGTCGAAAACCGACCGAATCCCGAATGATCTGAACGAATTGTTTTTAGTGGTAGGGTAGGGGTAGGGTACTAGAGCCCGATATGATCCATTTGAATGATCGATCCGAATGTACCGGTACGCGTGACGAAATGTACTAGAATGATTCGGTCACGAGAAATGAATGATTGACACATGTTTATCGCTGATAAAAACTGGTGATGAATTGATATGGTTTTTACTATACCGATACGAATATCAAATACATGGGCGTTTAACTGTCTGGTTGGTTTAGTGGTCATAAATGCGGTCACTTATCATGAGGCCCCTGGTTAAAACTACGTGTCGGGCCATAAGCAGTTATTGGGTTTATTCTGTCAAGATATTCTCAGCAGCAGTCCGAAGTTCGAAGTTTGCGGCGTTGTTTCACCCCATTTTTTTAAATTCACAATGGAGTCACTCTTGACCTCCATCTGGCCCGAGGGCGACGATGAGGTCTACGATGAAGCGAGTTTGCTCAGGGGAAGCCTATTCACACGTACCTTGAAGAGGTTCAGGTCATTGCACTCTGAAAAATAAACGTCGGCAGGATTTTCCATTCCTTGGATGTGATTTTAAAAGATGACTTATAGTGCTTGGAAAATGCTTTGAAAAGCCGTTGATCATGCGCCTGATCTCTCTTTAGTCGTGTTGGATTAACCTCCCATCGGACTATGAGTGAGGGAATAGAGAGTGCACCTGTGCTTGCGTATACACCGGGGTAATATAATCCTATCCTGTGTAGATGACTATAGTTCGTGCCAAATCGATTGAGAAAAACGGACGATGACCTCAGATATGAGCCGAGTGTCAAAAGGCGCAACTTACAAAATCTCAATTTAGATGTGATAACAATATTTAAATATTGATATTATTCACACTTCTAGGTCAGCACATGGTTGTTTTTTTGTTTCTTAAATAATATTGTCTGTGGTTCCTATAAACATTGTAAAATCTTACGATACATCGCGAAAAATGTGATATATTTTATGTTTCAATTTATGGTAAGTAACGCAGCAATTCATTTTATAACAGTTTCATATTAAAAAAATATTTGAAGCAATATAATCAGCATATTGAGCTTTTGCAAATTCATCCCTTTAAAATGAACAAAACGCGCGTTACGCCAGTTCCTTCTAAAGGAAACGTGATAATGGCAGCCAGAGATACGTCACTTTTTTGGGCTGGCCCGCATGCACCGAATAAAAATAAAGCTCTTATATAACATTGAAAATAAAGTTTCATCTTTTGAATAAGTACGTACTTATTCGGTGCCGTTATCACTCGAATCTTTATATATGTTATAAATTAATGATTTTTGTTGTTAAATGAATAAAGTACTTTATAACAATATATGATTTTTCTTCTACAGCTATCTTTTACATAACTTTTTAACAATAGTTAATAAATATATATTATATCAATCATTATAAAAAATCATTATAAATAAAGAAAGTACTACATATAAAAAGTGCCTATATATTGAAGGTTTGCAGCTCCTGGTTAAACGACCGAAAGGTCAACGTCCGTTTTTTTTCAATCGATTTGGCACGAACTATAGTCTCCGTTCAGATTAGCCGCATTGACCGAAACTCGGTCTGGAGATTATAGTATATCGGAATTTGCATTACGATTACAAATAACGATATTAATGCTATTCGATTTTTCCTTTTAATAAAACTATTATTTAAATAAAATACAAAAAAGTTTTGCTATATATACTCATTTAATTTAATTTATTATTTGAAGTTTTTTCTAAATATAAATATTTTTAATTTTTGTCCTTTAGCTTACTTTTTTATACTTGTTTTATGGAAAAAATACTCTATGAACCCAGATTTATTATAAAAGTATGGGAAATGAACCGGGAGCAATAGTTAACGTTAAAAATCATCTAAATAAATTGGTTTTGCTGTTAGTTTGCCTGTGTATATAATTCTTCTTTCTGTGTGTGTAAAATCATAGAATACTATAATACATACATAATAGAACGGGGGAGTGGGCGGAGCCCGCGTAGCCTTTAAAATGTCACTTACACGTCAATTCACACGTATAAATGTTCAACACGAGATGTGTTTTGACGTTACAATCGTTTCCAAATTTCGCATGCAAAGCATTTAGGAAATGCCAAATTGCACCGTATTTACAAATAAATATGTATTAAAATTTAAACGATTTTTTAATGATGATCTTGAACATTAATCAAAAGTCTAAAATGTGTAAATTTATTCAGTCTGTCAACACAGCGAATCGGGTTTGGCGACGCCAAGCCTCGTACAAAATAAAGTTGACAGCCATTCTATTGTGTATTATAGTATTCTATGTGTAAAATTTTGTGTGTGACTAAGTTGATAAGTGGTTGAGATCCAGAAATCACCCGTGCGACGTCGGGGTGGATCGCTAGTTTGATATATTATTTTGGGTATATTTTGTATTTACTTAATACTTATACTATGTTCAGTGTTTTTATAACGTAAAAGTGAACACTGATGAATATTCCTTTTATTTAAATAATTTCGGGACTAATTTGACACATTCGTACTCGTTTAATGACAAGGATTACTTAGATGATTTAGCTAGAGTGATTGAAGATTTAGAGTGATTGATATGTAGGCGCGGCGTGGTGGCGAGTCGGGTCGGGGCGGCGGGTGGCGGCGCCGGGCCTGCTGCTGGGCGCGCGCCGCCGGCGCCGCGCAGCTGGTGGCCAGCGCGCAGTTCTGCGCGCGCCCCGCCTTGAAACTCATCTCCAGCTGCGATCCCGGCGACGGCGATCTGCCCAACCTGGTGCTGGACTTTGTCCTCGGGACGCCTGGTAAGTTTACTCATATTTAGAGAATTAAGAATCGCTCCACCGTTCACTCCTTACAACACATCAAAAATCTAAATGCTGATTGGGACCGAGGTGAAGTTTTTTGTTATACAATGGCATTTAATGGACACGTTAGTTTTAAATAAAAGCTTATCAGCGTCCAGAGTGTTGTATTTAATATAAAAAACAGTGCCTAAAAAAATAAGAGCAAACTACTGTAGTTTGCTCTTATTTTTTAGACATTTTAACTATTTTATTTTTATTTTTCTACGTTTATTAACTTGCACAATGCCTTTGGCGCCCATGGGCGGCCTGACAATCTTCACATGCCGATACATTTTTTACAATAGTCTAGCTATACTCGGAATGGCCTGGGGATATCCGCGATTTTTAAAAAAATGCTAAGGTTACATGCCGAAGCCGCCCGTCGGCGCCTTTACTATATAATCAGAGTTTATCAACCTTTTCATGTTATGTAAATAAAAATCAGTATTTGTCAGCTAACGACTTAGAAAAATATAAATAGGCATTTTTATACAGGATGGAATTGAAATCATTTGTAGCATATAATTTAGCAGTGGTATAATCACATGAATTGAAATTTTATTTATTATTTTTTTGTTTTGGATTGTAACCAATCAACATTTGATCCGTAAGAGTCTTGACCATGAGTAAGCGGAAAAAAAAATATTTTGAGACTGCGTATTCTTTGAAATAGTGACAGCATCGAACACGCCTAATAGACGGACCAAAGGATAGGTACCGCTACAAGGTGAACTACTGCGCTAATTGGTAGAGCCATAAAAGACAAATTTTAAACAAAAGAGGGGGATAAGTGATTTCTCAGTCAATGTTTTGGTAATTTATTGACCATGAAAAAGTGAAAAAACGGAAGAGAGCTAACCATCAAGTTTTTCAAAATCGAAGTTTAGTCTGAAAATAAATATCGATAGTATGAAATTCACTAATATAATTGAAAAGGGACCTTTACAAGTTTAAAAAAAAGGTTGATGTTTCCCGACTCTAAAAAAAGCTATAATAGTATTTGTTTTCTGGTATATTTCTACTTCATCATACCGAAGCCGATGATGGGCGCCTAAGAATGCTTTAGCGAGATGCCTTAGACGCTGATAGGGGGCCGCCTTCAAAAGTATGATGCCATGGGGGTCAATGTGTTTCTATTCGCAAGAGGCAGTGAATGGGTTAATATCCGTAGTTTGGTGGTAACAAAAAAACTGTAGTTGCCAACCCGTTCGCTAAGCGTAGCAACTATGGCAATATACCCCCTCATAATGAGAGTGACGAAAAGAAGGCCCCCAGTCCCCAGCGGACCCCCTATTCCTGGCTACGATGGCGACCATGGTAACGGTGGGGCAGAGGGTAGGGGTAGGGTTCTTAATTAAGAATCTCCGGTGGAGGTCCGGTTGCCATCTACCACTTGACCTGGCAACATACAAAGCACGCACCCTGAAGACTGACGAGAAGATCCTGGAGCTGGAAGAAGGGATAGACAAGTTGAGCTGGAATATTATAGGATTATCAGAGGTCCGAAGAGAGGGGGATGACACGGTGATTCTCGAATCCGGCAACTTGTTCTATCACCAGGATGGCGACCATCTGTCCCAAGGAGGTGTTGGATTTATCGTCCACAAGTCTCGTCAAAAACTTTGTAAAGATTGGGAGTGTGTCGACGGGAGTTGGGTACCTACGTGATATTCAGAATAACCAAACGGTATTCGCTAAAGGTCATACAGGTTTACGCACCAACCTCGGCACATCCCGATGAGGAGGTGGAGGAAATGTATGAGGATATTTCTAGAATCATGCATTCCTCCAAAACCCACTATACGGTGTTAATGGAAAAATTCAACACAAAACTAGGCACAAGAAAGAACTGTGAGCTAAAGGTAGAGAAATTTGGGATAGGACAACGGAACCCAAGGGCCAGCAGCTGGCCGACTTCATGGAGAAAGAGGGACTCTTTATGATGAACTCTTTCTTCTAGAAGTGGCCCTACAGAAAGTGGACCTGGTCGAGCCCCGACAGTTCGACAAAAAATGAGATTGACTTCATTATGGCTACTAGACGGCAACTGTTCAGTGATTTCTCAGTGATCGTAAGGGTGAAAACTGGCAGCGATCACCGAATTGTTAGAGGCACACTGAACCTAAACGTTCAATTGGAGAAGTCTCGTCTAATGAAGTCAACGCTCCGTCTCCCTCGCGCTCTGATCCAAAGTCCCGAAACCTTTCAGTTCGAGTTACAAGTCCGTTTTCAGTGCCTAGAAAACTGCAATGCAGTGGAAGATATGAATGACAATAAGTTTGTACCAAGTTTGTAACCAGAGTGACAATAAGTTTGTATAAATATGGTTATTATAATATTAAGGAATTTATGGATGATAGTAACCCCTGGGAAGGGTGATCGCTACCAAGCTATTTCTAATTTGTGTTGTGTTGTTAATTGTAAACATGATTGTAATTTGAAAAAAAAAATAGTCCCGCTGGGTTTCTTGCTGGTTCTTCCCAGGACAGAGGTTTTTTTGCGAACCAGTGGTAAATGAAAAAATTGACTTTCAATAAGTATTGCTTATAATCTACATTGAATAAAAAAGTTTCTGTTTCTGACAAGCTCGTGGAAACTGTCCGATTACACTCTTAATCTCATGGTTGTTACACAGCCAGTGCGTGCTGCTATTGATGACCTATGGATCTGAGACGTGGTCCTTCACTGCTAGGCGGATGAGGACGCTCAAGGCGCTCAGCGTGCTATGGGGAGGGCTATGCTCAGGGTTTCTCTGCGTGATAAACTTAGAATTGAGGATATTCGCAGTAGAACCAGAGTGACCAACATAGCCCCAACGGATTAGTAAGCTAAAGTGGCAATGGGCCGGCCTTATAGCTCGAGGAACCGACAACCGATGGGGAAAAAGGTTCTCGAGTGGCAGCCTCGTACCGGTAGGTAGTGTAAGGCGACCCCCCACTAGATGGAGTGACGACCGGAAGACATGCAGGAAGTCGATGGATGCAGGTGTCTCAGGACCGTGCTTTGTGGCATTCCTTGAGGGAGACCTGTGTTCAGCAGTGGACTTGTGAAGGGCTGTAATGATGGTGATGATGATGATGATGATAACTAATATTACAGAACCATCAACCCTTATATTTTCTTAACAAATTCAATTCCCCGCTATGAAATCTGTCAAATAATAGGTCGGCGAAAAAGTTTCTTCGTATTTTGTTTGTATAAAATTGAACAAATATCTCGTTGATTATACTGTTACATTACACTTTTCCGCCATTTTTCAATTGATTTCTTTTTTTTCTTTTCTTGGTTTTTTTCTTTGATTCTGAAGTTTTATTACAAAAAAGGGAAAAATGCGACTCAACCGCAAAAAAAATATGACATTTATGGACATAATGCATTGTCAGTAAGAGTAGCACAAAGTTGATTTGAGCGTTTTCAGTAGGGGAATTTTGATGTTAAAGATGCATCTAGCTCTGGTCGCCCTCATACGTATAAAATCGATGCCATTTTGAAAAAGAGTAGTAAGATCGGCATATTAGTAGTTACTTGAATGAATTGAGGGATTGACCACAAAACAGTTTTGACCCATTTAAAAAAGGCTGGCTATACAAAAAAGCACGATATTTGGGAATCACACGAGCTCACACTGAAAGAAATCTAATGAATCATGTACTCATTTGCGATTCCCTATTGAAACGTAATGAAACTGAACCATTTTTGAAAAAAAATTATCACGGGTGATGAAAGATGGATCACCTACGACAAGAACGTGTAAAAAATATCATGGTGAAAGGGTAGTTAAGGTCCACAGTCTCCACTACATACAAACTAATGAGATTCAAGCAAGAAATCGAGAAAAAACGCCCAGAATTGATCAACAGAAAAAAAATGGTCTTTCATCATGATAATGTCACTCAGCAAAAATTAAGAAAGCTTGTATGGTGCATGCATTAACACTTTCTTAATTAAAATTAACAAAGTGTTAATGCATGCACCATATAGCGTAAAATAGCAGCATAATACTGCTGTGTTTCGTATGGTGAGTGTAGAGAACCGGAGAACGTTTTTTTACTGGAAACGAGGCATTCTATCTTGGTCCTCGGGGTGACAACGCATCTGCGTTTTAATTCTTAATCGAGGATAAATGTAGGTAGACCGTGTGCTCGTTTGTCACCCCTATTTTATAGAAAAAAAAATATAGTCCTGACCTTGCACCCTCATATTGTCACCTGTTTCGGTCTCTTTAGAATTCTTTGAGTAGTGTTAGGTCAACATCAAGAGAGGACTGTCGAAACTACTTGTCGCATATTTTTTGATCAAAAATTCCAAGATTTCTACAGCAACGGGATTATATTACTAGCTACAAGATGGCAACAAGTTATTAAACAAAATGGAACATATATGTTGTTACTGCCTCTGGGTTACCCTGACTGTAGTCGACTGAACTCGGGCCCAGATCAATCCAGCTCGACGGGTAATAAAGAGGAGAATCAAGACCTAATATCATATTAATCTATAGCGACTAACAAAACTAATACCCTTACCTTTTTCGTGAAGTGTAGGATCTGCCACGAGGTGGCGTCAGGGGCTAGTAAATGTTTGTTATTGTATGGTGTGTGAGGTGTAAAATGTAACCTGACGTCACCAGTAGGAGATAGCTGCAACACGCTGACCGCTCCTCAAGACGTTTTCGAGATCGTAAAACAAGTCCAACGCTTCACACGACATCAGGAGTCTTATCACGCTTTAACGAAACACTAACCGAGCGCACCGTATGCCAGTCGCAATCAATGCTCAAGTTTTTGTTTGTTTCTATATAAATTATATTTTTTCTTTGGCTTATTTAGATTTCATTTCCAAGAACGCAAACAAACTATGAAAACCGTAAGGTTCGCGAAGTATAATCGTCTGGGCTGCGAGGCGGCAATTATATTAACGAACGCGCGACTACACAGCTCCGCTGCTAGCTAGACAAGAAG